TGACGGATTAGTACCCAAGGGGCTGCAAGTACACAATTGGAAAACCTCGGCTCCTATAGGGCGAGAAACTAAAAGAAAGATATGGCATCTTGTGACGATAAATCCCATGAGACAAACAAACGTGAGCCTAGAGACTACGCAATCGTGATCCCCGTTAATTATGAAGAAGAAGGATCAGTCAGTCAATTGTTGTTGACAGCCAAAATCTGGTCCTCCAAGCAGTTTCACTAGGAAGTGATCAGATTCAATATTCATTAGTCGTTCTGACTGATATGTACACCACCGGCTGCAATTCATTAGAGCCTAACGTTCGCTACGTATTTCCTATAATCATATAACATCTGAAATCCTCGTGCTGACATCATAAACTATACGTCTGCTACAACGCTGTTGATCATACGTACTGAGTCCTCGTTGGGTTCTGACTACCACCTTTGGAAATTTGTGGCGGTTCACTATCAAAATCTGAATAGAGTGATCTAGCGCACCTGTGGATATACAGAATGATTAGTCAAAGGCTTCAATAACAAGAATATATTATACACAAACAGTAACACAACTTCCATCACTGTCATTTCAAAACTAGATAGACAACAGATCCATACATGTTACCCAAAACGTTGGCTTATTTGTAAAACCATCGAATCACTATGTGCCTTCACTCATAAACTCGCTAATTCATTTCCAAAGCTCGCCACTGCCTTTGTGACAACCGAGGAGACAACAGATTCGGCTGTCGGGTGCAGTTCGCCGCCAAACGCAGAAGCTAAGCGTTTTCAACCATTACATTACAGAACATCTTTCTTCACAGTTTCTGACTTTAACCGGAAGTGAAGACGAACAGACGTAAACCACAACAGTACCGTATTCGTCATCATATGGCCATGTGGTTTCAGATGGCGAAAGAAACGTCGTTTAAATCTTCGTTCGTGGCAGCAGTCGATCGTGCACGTACAAATAGCAAAGCCATACGGTTCGGTGGTAAGAAAATAATAGTAGCGAGCCGGGATGTTGGTCGGCCAGTTATCCGTGATTAACACCAAGTAGGACAATGAAAACGAGACACATGCTAAGAAACCAACTTTCGAAAAGCGTTTATCTGTTTTCGCTCAACGGCCGCTTATTACAAACCGTAACACCAGAAGGCAACGTAAACACAGAAAGAAGTTTAAAAACTACTTTTCGACGTCAATACACTTTCAGTCGGATAGCGGTGCTATATTTTCCCAAAATGCTATCACAATAGCAAAACGTGCGTAAATAAGTATAAGCGATGAGGAATGACAGAAAGTGATTACACAAGATGTAAGAAGTCCTCCACAGCAGCGGCCAACCAGACGCCAAGAAGATCAGAAAAAATGTCAACAGCAGCAGGCCTGTCACGTAACACAACCAGATCATCTGAAGATACCAGTTGACATTTCTGGAGTAAAATGCCAGAAGCCAAGTTAAGGAATACCTTCACGCATATGCTGGCCGTAGTAAAAGTTCTGTACAGTTAAATCGTGGAAAAAGCCATTTATAAGGACTGAACAATGCCAACGTCAAAATTTTAAATGTATCATCCAAAGCCACGCCCTCTTCAGAAACTGGAACATGTGATGACTGGGATGCTAACAAAGGATAAATAATGTCGGTGGCTTTCAATTATTCTCTCCTGAAGAATACCCTGGTGTTAGACCGATATTTCCTGAAGATGACAGAAATGTACATGGTCGCGGTCAGGTCGCTTCATGTGCTAAATTAATGAAAATCTTTCACGACTGTGAGAAAGATAATGATGATATAATCAAACCTGCTTCGATGTGACATGCGATCCTATACTTTGGTTACTTAGCTTTTTCAAAGATTTAGTAATTGATTACTGTTTTCTTTCAGATGAATAAGAAATCGATTTTGGCTTATGTTTGAAAACCGTACGAGGGAAGGAGCTGTTAACGCTTTCGTCATACATGACGTTTAGAGTGGGAAGGAAATAAAGTGTAATCGATTACGAACGCATTACGCGAACCAACGAAACGATGGACTTTGTTATTGTGTTCATCGTTCAAGCTTTCATCGTGTGAAACGAGTAGAAACTGTGTGAACTTTCGAACAGCTACATAAAAAACGCCTCCTTTTGCAAATGATCATACCATTTTCGTCACTTATCAGGAGGACTGGTACGCATATCCAAACCGTTCCTTTGCTGATAGTAACTAACGGAACAGTGGAAGTAGGTCATGGCTCCATGGTGCGTTAACAGTTGCAGAGCATGAGCGCAAAACAGCACCTCTTGTTGCTATATATAATGCCAATAATACTGTGATTGGCCGTCTCAGAGGCCTCAACTTTCTATAGCATTACAGTAAACGTAGCTGTAAAATTAGCGCCATGAGGATCACTTCAAAACTGCTCAATGCACAGTATAGACATTTCGGAAATTCTCGGCACCTTTACTCTGTGCTGAATCAATCGGGACAAGTTTTGTTGTAGGAAACAAAACTTTGGCTCTCGAATCGTTGACGAACCGTTCCTCATTGCTGACCACTATCGTTATTTCTCTTCACTATTGGATAGACAATGTTTGCATAGATGTTCCGCCTACAGATTTATAAAACTTGGCGATCGATACGTAAAATCAGAAGTTGCACTGTCTTAAAGTCAATAAACTTCCGTCTGATAATCAAATCTTCACAATCATGTTGCTAAGAATAGGGAAAGACCAAAGCAATCGATTACCAGATCACGTGTCATCGTGACTAAGCAACATCAATATCAGGCTCAAGACTAAAAGACGAGATGCACGATGATGTTATAACACAACATTTGATGAAACTATGATTATGCCAGAATGAAGTACCCTACAGCACTTAGCTTCCTATGCGACCGTGATAGGTGCAAAGAAATACAACCTTGAAATGATAAACCAACGACGCCAACGTCACTCAGTGGTTGATAGGCAGACCTTTATGAAGAGTTAGAGTTAATGAGTCTACGGCAAATGTACCCCAAATGCATACATAGACAGAAAAATCGAAACCACAATATGTACTAACAGGAAAGGATGCGGGATGATGCGGCTTAACTTCACATGGACAATGGCGACTCTCAGAGCAAGATCGACAGGAACAACAGAACGATGTTGGATATACGATACTCTATGAGGGCGCCCGCTATCCGACTATCAGCCCTCGGATACTGTGGGCTGGTCTTACAACTGAAGAGTTGGACCATTTTAGGTACCTCGGAACTGTGTTGATTAACGATAGCGACACTGATCCTAAAGGGAATTGGCACAAACTGCATGAAATACAAAAATATCGAGCCATAAGAAGTAATCCAAGATCTCCATCTTAAAAACGTTTATTTGGGGTACTCATGTACAGCCTTAAAACTTTTGCTATCCTGAAACGTCATGAAGCTCGTCTCGACAGCTTCAACAATCCGGTGTGTGGAATATTCCCAAAGTGCGATGGCACCATCGAGTTACAAACGACCACATTCAGAGAAAACTGTCAGATGAACTCAGATCACGGCGCTTGGTCTGATATGATACAACGGCCTAAAAAGAGAACGGAAATATTTTCCAGATCTTCGTCGCCTGGGAATCGTGCCCTGACGACAGACACGTTAGAGGACAATACAAAGCGTGGAAATACCTCATTCAGGCAGACCTGATCGTAAAGAGGAAAATGACTTTCACTTCTGGTCTGTGCCGCAGCTGAACGTGAAGTCAGACATTACATCTGGTGTTTAAACCTAGTTGGTGACGATCGTCAAACAATAACAACAAAAACACGATATTCTAACATGGATAGAAAGAAGTGACACTTCAAGCCTCAGAACTGTCCTTTGAACCAAAGATGATGACTCATTGGTAAACGGAAAGAGGAATAAAAAAACTCGGTTATGAAGAAGAAAAGCTCATTCACATTTCGATCGAATCACAAAAAAATGCGACGTTGAAAGTTTGCGCAGAATTGCAAATCATTTTGCCAATTCTTTCAACACTTACTGTTATTATTGTTCTGCTAATAATAGTAGAGGTCCACTAAGACATAATTGCGTTACACAAGAACTTAGAGAACACATGAATAAAAAATGAGGAACGAAGGAAGGGAAACGAGGGAAGACAAAGAAGTCACTCTTGCACTGTCATGAGAGACGCCCGTGCAAAACACCATTCTCTGTCGAAACTCAAAGAGCAGAAGTGACTGCCATCTGAATAACACTGGTCAGAAGTGTTGTTAGTCAGCTATCCCGTGGGTCAAGAGGAGAATTGCAGGCGCAAGCTTAGACAACAGTGTCTTACCTCACACCCATTCTGGTACGATTACACCAGAGCACAATACCGCTCATGTCGTTCGAAAATTCAACGTTAAACGACTTGCTACCTGTTCATCGGCACGACGCGCCGAAGTATGGTGGGATCGATTCCTTGCTCCAGGTTAATAACAGTTATCATAAGAAAATTTTATGCCACGCCGGCATTTGACGTATAAAGTAACATTGCATGTACTACCATTGTAATTACTGTTGCATTATAATCTACGGCACCACTGCCTCCCCCCCCCAAAATACAGGCTATGTCCATTCTAATCGCCAAAGTGCGGTAATCAGACCATGTCGGTATACAGACCGAAAGTAGTTCGCTGTTCAGTCCAGACCTGTAATTCACTGTTCTTGCCGCACTGTCGCATAAGCATTAACATTACCACAAATCACTACGTAATCTTGAAATTATAAACGACAATGCAGAGACTTATGGCTAAGAGTAAGTTGAGCGATAATACGAATTGGACTGAAATGTTAATTAATTTCAGAACCCATTATGGTAGAACGTTTCACCACTCTAGGGGATAACCTCCATCTGTTAACTGAACAACGAATACCGGTCAACCCGACCAGGATCTGAACCAGCAATCTTCTGACTGCAAGCCCGGGAAGGACCCAACTGGCCCAGATCACATTCGCCTACCCAGGGCTTCGCACGCTATTCCACTAGCAACAGCGTTGTTTAGAAGTCTGAAACGACAAGGCTTGTAGGATTCACATATAAGATTGGATACAATGTGGGACTCACAAACTCTTGCCAGTACTGATGCTAAAACGAGCACAAAAAAACAGTGTAGTTAACCGCTGTATGCCACAAGGAGTAACTTCAACAGATGTCAGAGAGGTCCATATATTTGACTAACTCAATTTTTCGACCAAGACAATCAACGTTCAGTAAAGGAGTTCAATATTTTCTTAATGTGAAATCCGCAATGCCTTGCTACTGTTTCGAATGACTGATTTAGCCGCTTATTTTTGAACGCCCTATTTGGCATTTCAGATAAAAGTTCGAGCTGATGAAGAAGATCTGAACTTAAGAGCAACCCGGGTTCTTTTAACTCGTTGCCGTTGAGCAATAAATCAGCTATAACTGTCTTGTTAACAGTCTTGTACGCAGCCTCGATCGTTTTATTATCGTCAATATATTTATGGTTTAATTTACAATGATATTTTCTTTGATATGTGCTAAAAAGATAAGATACTTTGATCTTGTTCATGTAGTAAAATTTCACTTATGCTTGTAATAAAGAATTGCACCTCACTGTTTTAGTCAAATAAACAAGAACCAGTACTCCCTCCGGATGGTTATACACTCGATCAAAGTAGTCAATCTAAATATGCAATATAGTCTGTCTAAAAAAATCATAAAAGACATTCATGAATAATAAGGATAAAAGAGCAAACAGGCCTTTTCTAATATCACAGAAAGAAACATTTAATATTTTACTTGCATTTAATACCGGAGCAGTTAAAATGAGCCTCTCCAGTCAGAAACATCGTCTGAAACATCAGTAAGAACTATTACTTAACTCCCCAATTTCGTTTATCACAGGATTAAGCACAGTGACCACATTTCGTGGTTAAACTTAACAATCTATCGTTTATTTTCACTGTCTTATCATACACAGAGGATGTCAAGAAACTATATGAAACAGAGAGTACCTAGATGCACAACTTACAAAACAAAATATTAGGTAATTGTTTTAATTCTGTTTAAACATTGTAAACTGCAGAGTAAAGAACATTTGCACGAGAAAAAATCGAAACTATGTAGCCGCTTAGATCGGTCTCTCTTACATTTTTGTCGGTTGTGGCACCCTTCTTCAGCAGAGCTCATGGCATGGAGCAAACCCCAGTTTTTGCACCATCAGCTAGAAACCCTTCCTTTTTAAAGCTACATCTACAACTGTATGACCACTGTAGCATAGAGGCTACTGTCTCCTTACCGCGAAGTGGTATTTGTTTACAGCATGTGACTGTAGAAGATTGTATTTGGAACCTAGAACGAAAATTACCAACACCTAGAGACAATGGAAGCCAATTTCTCAGGAACATCTCCGAAGTTCTGTGTATTTGCCTGTATATCTTCAGAGCTTGTTATTTTTTCGATTGAGAAGCAGCTTTCAAAGATGGGCTACCTCGAAGGCTGTGC